AAAGTCACCCAGCTAGCTTTTATGGCTAAGGCGGGACTAGAACTCACAGTCTCCTGGTGAAAGGGAATCCGTCCCATATTGCATAGCTAAAAGTTTATGACCCTTTGCAACATCCCCGTATCCCCGTGATCAAACTTGGAGGCCAAGTCTGTTTCTCCTCCTGATCACCCGATCTCTGCCATGGCTGCCTGAGTTTCTCTCCACACATCCCAGATGTCGGAGAGCAATTGGAGTGGCCGGAACCCAGGACCTGAGTCATTGATTTATTGGGAATGTCGGCTGGCTATTAGGGCACCGACAATCCGCCCCCATTCAAATCACAAGTCTCTAGCCGCATCTCTCAGAGTTTTTTTAAAAAATAATTTATTAGGAGTGAAAATGCCAGCATTACCTGGGTGCAGCTGACTCCGAGACACATCATTCATCTCCAGTCTCCAGTCTCCTCATCATCCTCCTCTGCACTCTTTCCATAGTCTCAATATCTTTTTTATAATGTGCTGACCAAAACTGGATGCAGGACTCTAGGTGTGGCCTTACTAAGGCTTTATAGAGTGGTATTAGTACCTCGCTTGATCTCGCTTGTTATCTCTGTTAATGCAACTTAGGGTTGCGTTGGCTTTTTGGGCTGCTGCTGCTGCACACGGCTGGCTCCTATTTAGCGGGTTGTCCACTAAGACTCCAAGATCCCTCTCACCGTTCCTGCTATTGAGCCTGGTTTCACCCAGTCTGTATGTGTCCTTTTGGTCGTAAGTCGAATCCCACCTGTATATAATGCCTGCAACAACAACAAAAAAAAACCCCAGCTTTATTACGGAGTTTTCTTTTCTCCTGGTTTTTTTTACATTTATAATTCACAGGCTGCTCATTGATTCCCACACAAACCGTTCTGGGAGAAATTTGTTGCCACCACTTTGAAAGTTCAAAGCAGCAATTTGTTCAGTCGGTGTTTTTAATTCTCCCTTCTCGAATCGATCGACACGCCGAAGGGCCATCCTCCGAAGGTATTCATCTTGGTTTTGCAGTACAGGTAGTAGTCCTCGACGTACGACCGCAATTGAGCCCAGTGTCGGGGCTCCGACAATCCACCCCCATTCGAATTGTGAGTCTCTAGCCGCATCTCTCAGAGTTTTTTAAAAAATTATTTATTAGGAGTGAACATGCCATGGGTGCAGCCGACACTGAGACACATCATTCATCTCAGCCTTGACCCTGGTCTTCCCCCCTCCCCCTGGGTGTATATTCTCCAATGGGACCCATCCATAGCCAAGAGTCATCAATCATGCTCTCCAGTAATAATCTTGTGCGCCAGAAGCTTCGTCTGCCTAGCAATTATCTGAAGCATTTAAGGAATGCACTGCTTTCCCCCACTTCCTTTTCTGCTGGCAACTCTGAAAGACCAGAGAAATATTTTTGAGTTGACATTCAGGTGCTTGGCAATATATATTTGACTCATATTTATGACGGTCGATGTGTTCCGCAGTCATTCCCCTTCTGACAAGCAAAGTCAACGGGGAAGACAGATTCACAATTTCACTGATTTAACCACTACAGTGATTCTCTTCATGAGTGTGGTCTCACTTCACAACAGATATTTGGGGCTCAGTTGGGGTCGTAAGTTGAGGATTACCCGTGTTTAATCTCTCTGCTTCCATTCATTGGAGATTATTCTTTTAAAAAAAAAAAATATCAGCCTCTAAATTCAGATTTAAATAAGCAACCAACAACACAGGGAAGATCTTATACCTCTCCGAATTGGCAATATGGATAACAGAGTTAGAAGGGACCTCGTAGGTCATCTAGTCCAACCCGCTGCCCAAGTAGGAGATGCTACACCATATCTGACAGATGACAGTCCAGCCTCTTCTTGAAAGTCTCCAGGGATGAAGTTTCCACAACTACTGAAGGCAACTTCTGTTCCATGGGTTGATTGTTCTCGATTAGGTCGAATCTCTTCCGGATCGGTTTCCATCCATTATTCCTTGTCTGCCCATCAGGGGCTTTAGAAAGTAACTTGACCCTCCTCCTCTCTGTGGCAGCACATCAAATATTGGAAGACTGCTATCATGTCACCTGTGACATGTAAAATCATCCCTGGGAAAATATAAAGCAATAGTAATGCCATTTTTAACCTCTGCGTTAACCTAAGATAATTTACTGGAATATTATGTCAGAATTCTCTATTGTTTTATGTAAAGGTTATATATATATTGCTGTCCAATGTCATGTTAATGATGGAGATTACTGGAAATTGAAACGGGTAAACAGGTTAAGGAAACAGATGTTATGCTATAATGATAGGGGGTGTTGCGTAGGGAGATCCGTAGCTGGATAGATTGTGAATCCGGAAAGGGTCAGAGACTGTATATTTGTAACTGTATATAAACCCCAGAAACTGTATATAAACACAGAAATGTCTTCTGTGGCTCCACCCATGAGCACAGAATTCCCTTTTGTAAAAGCTCCATAATAAAGCTCCTATTTATCGTTCGCGCGTCTCCAGTTATATGCAAACCTGAATGGTTGCTTTTTATCACATTGCCCTTAGTCCTCCATTTGACTAGACTGGACTTACCGGATTCCTGCACTGTTCTCCCTATGTTTTAGCCTCCAGTCCCCTAATCGTCTTGGTTCAGAGGTGGTATTCAGCCGGTCCGGCCCAGTTCTGATGTACCAGCAGTGGAAATACGAAGCACGCTCTCATAGAACGGATAGGAAAAAAATTTGGAAAGCCACCACTGTTTTGGTTGCTCTTCCCTGCACTCTTTCTAACAGATAACAAATCACAGATAATCAGAGTTGGAAGGGACCTTGTAGGTCATCTAGTCCAACCCCCCGGCCCAAGCAGGAGACCCTACATCATTTCTGAAAAATGGCAGTCCAGTCTCCTCTTGAAAGCCTTCAGGGATGAAGCTCCCACAACTTCCGAGGACAACTTCTGTTCCATGGGTTGATTGTTCTCCCTGTCAGAAAGTTTCTCCTTATTTCCAGGTTGAATCTCTCCTTGATCAGTTTCCATCCATTGTTCCTTGTCTGGCCTTCAGGGGCCTTGGAAAATAGCTTGACTCCCCTTCCTCTCTGTGGCAGCCCCTCCTCAAATATTGGAAGACCGCTATCCTGTCTCCCCTGGTCCTTCTCTTCCCTAGACTAGCCAGGCCCAGTTCCTGCAACCGTTCATCGTATGTTTTAGTCTCCAGTCCCCTCATCATCCTGGTTGCTCTTCTCTGTACTTTTTCTTAGAGTCTCAACATCTTTTTTAACATGCAGTGACTATCATACCAGATAGATTTCTCTCCTAAAATATGCACGGGGAGGGAGGGGAATCCATGGTTTTTTTTTTTAAACCGAAAAGCTTATGTGCGTGAGCGCACACAACAAGATAATTGCGCTTCAGGATTTCTGTGGAGTTCAAGAGGATCAATTCGACGCCACATTCCTGTTCGAATCCTGCCATCGCCTTGACCCTCGAATTCGCTTCTTCTGCCCCTTCTTTCCACAGATGGTCTCTTGGGAGGCAATCGAAATCTTCACCTGAATGTTTATTTCAAAGGCCGAGCGTCAAAATATGCTAATGGGGCAGGTTGGTAATTATAATTATTTAAGAACAGAGAGAGGTGGGGCGGCTGATTTGGAGTGTGTGTGTGTGGGGAGAGTGAAGAGGGAGGTAAGATTGTTCGGATGCAGACCATAGTTTGTCGGAGAAGGCGGGCCTCAGTTCCAGGGTCTAAAGTCATCTAACCTTAGAGATGAATGGGAGCCTTGAGGTCATGTAGTCCCGCCCCTCTTCAGCTCAGGGCAGTTTACGCTTTCTCCGAGCTTGGTTTTGTGGAGTAAATTGGCTCCGTTTACTTAAGTGCTAAATTGCTCTTGTTTGGAAGGTTTTTTGTTTTTTTTCCTTACCCTCAACATACAATTCATAAATTGCCTTCTTGACATTTAAGACAATTATTCTATATTTTAGTTATTATAGTTTCAGCTGTTCCTATTCCAATATCTTATGACCTGTAGTTATAAGAGTCAGTCAATCAATCACTCACTCAATTCATGACTTGCATTCTGATCTGATCGTGAAAAGCTCTTGGCCTTTTTCATCATTTGTTCATTTATTGATGGATTAGACTTTCATCCCACTTTTATAAGTAATGCAAGTTGGGGAGCACACCTAATACACATTCCTCCTGTTTCCCCAACAACAACAACAACCCTGTGAGGTGGGCTGGGCTGAGAGAGATGGATTGGCCCAAACTCATCCAGCAGGTGACATGCCTGAGGTGGGACTAGAACTCACCGTCTCCTGGTGATTGGCCCAATGTCACCCAGTTTGTTCTCATGCCTAAGGCAGGACTAGAACTCACAGTCTCCTGGTGATTGGCCTAAAGTCACCCAGTTTGTTTTCATGCCTAAGGTGAGACTAGAATTCACAGTTTCCTGGTGATTGGCCTAAAGTCACCCAGTTTTCATGCCTAAGGTGAGACTAAAACTCACCATCTCTTGGTGATTGGCCCAAAGTCACCCAGTTTGTTCTCATGCCTAAGGCAGTACTAGAACTCACAGTCTCCTGGTGATTGGCCTAAAGTCACCCAGTTAGCTTTCATGCCGAAGGTGAGACTAGAACTCACCATTTCCTGGTGATTGGCCTAAAGTCACCCAGTTTTCATGCCTAAGGTGAGACTAGAACTCACCATCTCTTGGTGATTGGCCCAAAGTCACCCAGTTTGTTTTCATGCCTAAGACAGTACTAGAACTCACAGTCTCCTGATGGCTGGCCTAAAGTCACCCAGTTAGCTTTCATGCCTAAGGTGAGACTAGAACTCACTGTCTCTTGGTGATTGGCCCAAAGTCACCCAGCTGGCTTTCATGCCTAAGGTGGGACTTGACTTTTGGCCAATCACCAGGAGACTGGGAGTTCTAGTTCTGCCTTAGGCACAAAGGCCAGCTGAATGATGTGAGGCCAATCATCAGATGACAGTGAGTTCTAGTCCCGCCTTAGGCATGAAAGCCAGCTGGGTGACTTTGGGACAATCACCAGGAGACAGTGAATTCTAGATCTTGCCATAGGCATAAAAGCTGGCTAGGGCCAATCGCCTGGTGACTGTGAGTTCTAGTTCCACCTGAGTCACAAAAGCTGACTGATTGACAGGCTGCTTGTTGTCGTCGAAGAAATTGGAGAAGGAGGAAGTTTGTTGGATATGTTTGCTGCCTTAAGTTGCTGTAAAAATCACAAAGGCAGAATAGAAATAAATCAATGTAATTCCAATCTATAGTGATGGTTTGGATAGTGTTGCTCTGGTTTGGCTTTTTCTAGAAGGCCTATGAGAAGGATAAAACTCAAGATCTCTGGAATCCACCAGAGCTTTTCCTGAGGCTAATGAGTGGAACGCAATGCAGTTCTCCACTATTTTCCACATGTCCCAATTATTATCTTTTCAATTATTCCATTTAATGGATTTCTAACCTGCTTTGGAGGGCATGTTGCCCTCCCAACGTTGCCTGTTTACCGAGAGTTTTAATACGCTTTAAAAAAAAAAAAAAAACCAGGACAATTACAATATGCCATTAAGTGAAAATCATTAAATCAGAACCAGCAGCAGTGGAAAGCACTTGGAGCAGAGCAGATGAGCCGAACCGCAGCCTGGAATAAATAAAATAAAATAAAATATCTTGAAGGAAACAGAAGTCAGAGGAGCATGAGAGATTTCCCCTGGTAGAGAGAAAGCGTGTGTCTTCTGAGTTAAAATGATGGGCCTAAAAAAAACCACCCAAAAACATCAAAACACGGATTTCAAGGCAGGAAAAATATATATATATATTGTGGGACCAATTTGCTTCTCTCTAGATCAGTATTTCTCAACTTCAACCACATTTAAGATGCGTGGACCGCAACTCCCAGAATTCCCATAAGGGCTGGCTGAGGAATCCTGGGAGTTGAAGTCCACGAAGGTTGGCTGGGCAATGATAACCAAATCAGGCACCACATTCTTCCTTGCCCTAAAAAGCAACTGAGTCCTAAGATCATTTATTCGTTTTGTTGAAAGTTTTTCAAAGTCCTTATGAAAAAAAAAGGAACTTTTAACCTTTCTTTTTCCTTATTTCTTCCTCTTTCCCTTTTCTTTCTTTTCTCTAAATTTTTCCCTCTTTTCTTTCCTTTCTTCTTTTCTTTCTTTTTTGTTTATTTGTGTATGTATTGTTGGTTGGTTTTAATTGTAAAAACTAATAAACTATATTTTTAAAAAAAGGGGAAAAAAAGGAACCCGGAAGATTAACAGATTAACAGATAACAGATAATCAGAGTTGGAAGGGACCTTGTAGGTCATCTAGTCCAACCTCCCACCCAAGCGGGAGACCCTAGACCATTTCTGACAGATGGCAGTCCAATCTCTTCTTGAAAGCCTCCAGGGATGAAGCTCCCACAACTTCTGAAGGCAACTTCCGTTCCATGGGTTGATGGTTCTCACTGTCAGAAAGTTTCTCCTTATTTCCAGGTTGAATCTCTCCTTGATCAGTTTCCATCCATTATTCCTTGTCTGGCCTTTGAGTGCTTTAGAAGATAGCTTGACCCCTTCCTCCTCCCTGTGGCAGCCCCTCAAATACTGGAAGACTGCTATCATGTCTCCCCTGGTCCTTCTCTTCCCTAGACTAGCCAGGCCCAGTTCCTGCAACAGATCTTTATATAAACAGAACAGAACACAGTTGGAAGAGGGACCTTGCAGGTCATCTAATCCAACCCACTAATCCTACACTATTTCTGACAGGTGGTAGTCCAGTCTCTTCTTGAAAAGCCTCCAGGGATGAAGCTCCCACCACTTCTGAAGGCAACTTCTTGATCAAAGCAATCAACCATGGGTTGGTTGTTCTCACTCTCAGAAAATTTCTCCTTATTTCCAGGTTGAATGTCTCCTTGTTCAGTTTCCATCCATTATTCCTTGTCTGGCCTTCGGGTGCTTTAGAAAATAGCTTGACTTCCCTCCTCTCTGTGGCAGCCCTTCAAATATTGGAAGACTGCTATCCTCTCTCCCCTGAGAAATCCAAATATCCTTTTTTACAGGCAGTCCTCCACTTATGACCACACTTGAGCCCAACATCTGTTCAGTAGTGGGATTCAAATAATTTAACAACCGGTTCTCTGCCCTAATGATTTCTCGCAACAACCAGTTCTCCAAACTGGTTGAGCAAAGTTGACAACTGGTTCTCCTGAATTGGTGCGAACCGGCTGAATCCCACCACTGCATCTGTTGCTAAGTGAGACATGTTAAGTGAGTTTGCCCCGTTTTATCACCTTTCTTGCCAGATTGTTAAGCGAATCACTGCAGTCGTTAACTTAGTCACACGGTTGTTAAGTGAATCTGGTTTCCCCATCCACTTC